GCCTCTGTGATAACCAGTCTCCGTACACCCATAAAATGCCGTGATCATTTTTTTTTAAAGCGCATCCTGATATCCGATTTCCACATCCTCTCCAACAGCAGATCTCGATCAACCGTATCGAAAGCTGCTGCCAGACCCACTAAAGCTGTGTAAAGCTTACCCCTCTTCTTCTTTATCCTATTTCCGATTAAAGAGTTAAAAATAAAAAAAAAATTATTCCCTACTTCCCTTTTTACTTCTGAAGCGCTTCTGCCTCTCCCTGAACTTGCCCTCCCTTTCTAACTAACTACCCAGTCGCCTGTTTCTGGCTAGCAGTTCATATCCCAAATTTAGCAGAGCAATCCCCCTGTAATTTTCTATCCCCCCTCCCCCCGCCATCTTTTGTGAATAGCGAATTTGAATTCGGTGCGCTCCCAGAGAACCTAATCAGCGATCTCCACGCTGCGACCCAGGCACCACGTCACGTCGCACGGCACTTCTCCCTAGTGCGTGAGTCGAGACTGGTGAGGGGTGTCTTAGGGGTCTGTACTTCCCACTTACACGGCCGAGTCGCTCCAGCTCGTTTTCAGTAAACCTTTTCGGTGGTTCGCTTCTATATTGGTCTCTAGTACACTCGCGTTCGACGGCTTCCAATGAATTGGAATTCAAGATGTTTGGGTTTGTCCCGTCCAGCCGAGCAATTTAACCACCGCCGCTACCGTTATCAATTGTACTTTGTCTAAAATGTATTCTCTGCTTAGGAGAGGAAATTCTTTTCAAAATATACGTACATTTGGTGGGCTTCTAATTTCCTCAATCATCTGCCTCGTAACTTCATTATACAGGGTGACATTATCAAGTGCCCAGCCTTTATGTGCACGCGCTACTTCTTGTCGCATAGCAGTTAAAAATCCTGAAAAAATGTACGTTGTAAGATGATTCCTTCAAGCGGAATTGGATTCCTCAGTTTTCCGGATAACACTAATTTTCTCTTTACCCTGTGGATTAAAAAATCCGCTCATCCAAAATGAATCTGGCCGGCCGATGGTTATCCATTTTGAAAACTGCTGATTTCTTTCTAACAATTCTGTTATCCAAAATCCAAGTGTAGATGAATTCCAGGAGCGTGAGCGCCACATGTTCGGAATTCGAGCATCGTAAATATTGTCTAGAGTATCGCGTAAGTCCTGAATGAAAACAAATATATAATTCAAGTTCCAGAAATGGTCTCAATGGATAGGATGATTCGAGGTCAATAACGCGGCTCAAGGATATGCATTGGGCATCGGGATATCACTAGTTATCTTCATTTTTCAATGTTCTTGAGTAAGCTAAATCCGGAAGTCTTACCTCGTTCATAATTATAACACCTTCTATAGCGAGTAGCAGATTTTGTAATGTTACTCTAACAATTTTCAA